CCAATTTTTCAGTCTCTTTTTGGGGTATGTTGTACTTCTTAAAAACTGAAGAAAAAAACTTTTTTTTTTTCCACGTTTTCTTTACTCCACTTCTCAGATTTTACCTGTCATCGCCCTCTTCCGAGCTCTTAGCACTCGTCTACATTTCAGAAAAATCTCCGTCGTGTCAACATACACTTCTCTCACATCGTGAAGGTGTCACTTTGGGGTGAAACATCTCCATCTCTGCCTTACCCATTAACAAATTTTCTCTGCTTAAAACGACAGCCCCGACTTTTCCTGTCTGGGAGTCGGTCCCAAAAGACATAAACCCGCTCTTTAATACAGTAAACCCCTTTTCCTTTTTATCGTAAACCCCAAATTTCACTCCATGTTTTCTGAATAAAACTCTCACACTGATGCCAACCTTTAAAAAAGAATAATTTTACCACCGTTTAACCTGTTTTTTTTTATTCATTGGTTTAAGCCTGTCAAAACACCAGTTACTTTAAACGCGACACCTGACCTCTCAGTCAAAACTGCAATATTTTTTTGTATTACACTGCAATTTTTGTAGAATATACAAAAGATAATTTGAAAGTATATACAAAGTTATTTTTTTGCATCATTTTTTCATTTTATTCTGCTATATTATTTTTTACAACCCCGTTGCCCCCTATATCATAAAAAAAAAGCTACGCAATTTAGTTATCAAAAATTATCTAGAAACCAGATAAATTTCTTTCAGTTTTCATCATACGCCTTATATTGCACGTTGTTTTCCCCAAAACTTTCACTTTAAAAAATTTCGGTTTTTTTAACTCGTTCGTTTTATATAAAAATAAAAGTCACAAATCTAACTAACAATTTAAGCCCCATTGGAAAGGAAAACTTTGACGAACTTTTCCCTCTGTCTCATACCATTATCAGGTTTTGTGTGAAACCCGAAATACGGGCTAATCCAATACTCACTCCACAGTCCCCCCCCAGTACCATCCCTTTACAATGATACCCAGACAGTACCTACAGAATGTAATAGCGATATAAGCACGAACACCATCCCATAAGCTAATAAAAGCCATTGTTCCATATACGTACTATATTTCTAATGCTAACGATTAGTCAGTCATAATGAAACCCTTTTTCTTTTGTTCATTTTTACAGTGAAAATAAACACATGGCAAAGAACAACAACGCGGATTGAATATAGGGTGCGCAAGAATCATCCATGGACACAAAAAATTACTGAAAAAAAGCAAGAAAATTGTTAAGAACAAAACAACAAAAACCTTTTAACAACAAATATCATAACAAATCAAAAAAACCAGTCCTGGACAACAAACAGCGGCGCAGATGCATCAGTGAACAAAAACAACGTCCCGGACATTTAAACAAGCCCCCTGTAGTATAAAGAGATATAGCTTCAGTGTCAGGAAAAAATTTGTTGCTGTAATGGGAAACAATTTAAATTTGACTGCACCATTGTTGAAGTTTTCTGGTGCCAGCTGTCCCGGTGAATATTCTTCGCCCCCATTTTAAAAATTTTTTAAATTTTAAAAATATTTAAATTAATATATTATATATAAATATTTGAAGTTTGTCAGAGGTAGGGAGGAATCCTCTTGATATTGTGTGGACATTTTACGCAGTTTTTCTTTTAATTAACAAAATTAGATTATCATTCTATCAAACCCCTTTTTTTTTTCCCCGCACACCCCTTTTTATTTCCACAAAAATTTTGCTAACATAAAACTTTTGTTTATTGGCTCTATTTCTAACCCCCCTCATTCTCTGTACCGTTCTTACCCATTTCCCCAAAAATGCTTATATCTTACGTATCTATCACCTTTAATTTTTAAACTTTCACTTCTCTCTTCCCCCCTGATTTTCCTGGCACTATTACCCTCATTGTAACACCCCAAAACATCAATCTGATACTGTCCCCCCAAAAAAACAACCATCAAGCATTTTTATAAAATAATCCAAGAAACTGCTATCATCTTATCTCCATACATATTTATAAAAAAAAAGGGTTTAAAAAAACCCCACCGTTCGGTTTTTTTATTTACTTCGTATTTACGTTTTCGTGACCCATACATTTATTCTTAAAAACATATTCAATTATTAAACTTAGTGGGATTTTTTCCCCGGGGTCCCCCCCAGTTAGAGGTCTTTCCCACTAGTACGCTCGTTAAATAAATCTTTGGGGTGGATTATTTGGGGGTTTATATTTATTAGGTTATTGATGTTTAAGTGTAAAATCGAATTTGTGAGATGTAAATAATATAAACAGGGTAGATATTTAGAAAGTTAAATAAAATTTTCAGGGAGAAAGAAAATATTATACGCATTGGGTTAAAAATTCATATTGACAAATAACGGCATCAAAGGAAAATCTGTTTTTGATCGTAATAAATGCCTTTTATTACAAAAAAATGTTCATTTGAAGGTAACAATGGTCATTTTTTTTTTTTTTAAATCTTAACGTGTACCCCGACAGTTACTTGTTTCTTGAAAAATTTTTCGTAAATAAACCCCAATTTACATTGGGTTTACCGAAATTAGAGGAAAAAAATTGGTACAGGTCTTATAAAACAATTCAGAGGGGAAAAAATAGCACTTTTAACAATGAAACCGATTCGTAATTTTTTTTGTGAAAGTGTCGAGATTTAATACACAGAAAAACCCTTTTGTTAGTTAAAAGAAAATTTTTTGAAAGGGTTTAACTTTAAACGAGTTTTGTAATTTTCAGTTTTACCTATTTGGCATTAAAAAATTTTAATTTATATATATATATATTTAAAAATTATAAATTATATATATTAATATATTATATATATATTATATATATAATTTATATGTCGTGGGCCGAAAAAGAGAACTTGCGTCTTGGCTTTTAAAAAAAAAAACGTTCTGTGTTTTTTTTAGTATAAATTATTGGGAAAAATATTTAAAGAAATTTTTTGGGTTAGGCTAAAAATTCATTGTAAAAAGGTTACGTAAGTTTTTTAAAATTATTTTTGGGCAAAATTAATTTTTTTTTTCGCATTAATAAAAAAAAAATTCTTTACATTTAACATTAATGAAAAAAATATACTTTAAAAGTCAAAAGAAAAATTTTAGAAAAGGGCACTTTTAATTTTTAAAAGGTTCTTGCTATTGACCAGCTTTACATATTCGGCACGACATATATATAAAAATTAAAAATATTTATATATTTAAAAATTAATATTTAAAATATATTTATTATATTTTTATAATTTTTAAAATTTTAATTTGTGGAAATTTTTCGGGTAAGGTAAAAACCCCTTTTGCATTGAGGGATATATTTTCCAGTTTTTCCTTTTAATTTAAACAAAAGTTAAAATTATCATTTACAAACCCTTTTCTTTCTTCCCGACACCCTTCCCTTTTCCACAAATTTCTTCACACAAAACTGATTGTTATATTTGGGTCATATCCCCTCTAACCCCCACTATTTTCCTGTACCGTCCTTACCCATTTCCAAAAAATGCTTATATTTCCGTTCACACCTTTAATTTTAAAGCTTTCATTCTCTCTTCCCCCCGATATTCTCCCGGCACCCATTTCCCCATTGTAATACCACAAAACATCAATTGAATCTGTCCCACCAAAAAAAAACAACCATCAAGCATTTATCTACTAATAAAAATCCAAGAAACTGCTATCTCTTTCTCCAATAATATTTAATAAAAAAAAACGGTTTTAAACCCCCCACGTTTTGGTTTTTTTTTTTACATTGTTTAACGATTTCTTTGGGCCTAATTTATTTTTAAAAAAACATATTCTTATTATTTAAATTAGTAACTTTTTTTCCCGCCACCCGTTGGGCTCATTTTCCCCTAATTTTACGACGTCGTTAAATAAAATCATAGGGGGATTATTTGGCGGTTTTTTTTTATTAGGTTATTGTAGTTTAGAGTGTAGAATCGAATTTGTGAATGATGTAAATAATTAAACGGGGTAGTATTTAAAGTTCTATCTTCCAACCCACTAACAGGAGGGGGTAATCCCGGGTGGTTGCGTACCACCCACTACCACGGACGGTATACCTCCCCAGGTGGTTTCTCCTAAACCTACTACCACGGACGGAGTACCTCCCTGGGTGGTTTCTACTACCAAATACTACCACAGGACGGTAGTACCTCAAGGGTGGTTGATCTACCCAAACCACTACCACTGGACGGTTTGCACCTCCCCGGGTGGGTTTCTGTTACCCAAACCTACTACCCGGACGGTGTACCTCCTGGGTGGTTGCTTCTACCAACCTACTCCCCTGGACTGTAGTACCTCCCCGGGTGGTTGCTTCTACCAACCTACTTTCCAATATCCCAAGAGGGATACCTCCTGGGTGGTTCCTATCTACAACTACACCACAGGACGGTAACACCCCCTGGGGGGTTGCTACAACCAACCCACTCCATGGGCGGAATACCTCCCCGGGGGGTTTTTATTACCTCCATTACC